GTAGCGGTAGCGGTAGCGGTAACGGTAGTGGTAGGGTAGTGGTACTGGTACTGGTACTGGTACTGGTACTGGTACTGGTACAGTAGTAGCAGTAGTAGCAGTAGTCGTCGTCGTCGTCGTCGTCGTGGTCGTCGTGGTGGTAGTTGTAGGAGCAGCAGGAGGCACGCCCCCAAAACCAATTAAACTTGCTCTACACCTGCGTAAGAGCACGTCCAGTTTAGTCGGTATTTACAGTAGTTTCCTATTGTCCTACCGCTTTGTCTCGCCTCACAATTGACTTGTCGACTTCGCAAACCCGAGCTTGAGATTTTGAATGGGGGTAGGGGTTGGAAGGGGTGGAGGTGTCCCCAAAATCAAGTTTAGGGACTCTCCAGCCGGGGTTTGGCAGAAGTTGCGCGAAGCATGTGGAAGCTGCACGTGTGAAATCCTTACAAAACCCTCGCGTGCAGAAGAGCGAAAGGATCTCTTTGCGTTAGGCAAGGTCATCGACTTTTCGGCAATGCCCATGAGAGACTTGCTTGTGCTCTGCGGAGGAGGAGACCTTGCCACAGGAGTTCGTGAGCTCACTAGCGGGAGTAGCGCCTTTGAAGCACGATCAGCCAGGCGAAGGCTGTTAACCGGCAGACATCAAGGATGTGCTGTTGCCAGCTGTCTTTTTGTCATCATGGCAGAATCTGCTCTCACTAGCTGCACCTGCACAAGGTCGGTTTTCGCAATGCCATTCGGCCCAAGTGTAGGACATTAGTTTGCAGTCACCCACGGCCGCTGGGCGCTTGGCTCTGCAAGGCTTGGCTAGTAGTGTGGTAAAGAGATGAGATGTTGCACGACGATGACATCAATCTGAAACAGACGTGCAGCCTGAATGCCTTCCTTGCAGGCGATGTTGGGATGGCTCCTTCTTATGGTCTGCGCAAGGCTCGGCGGGCCAGGGCATATCTTGTTTATGGCCTCGTTGCTATGCACTGTGGCACGGTGCTTGTTGTTCTCTCTCCAGAATCCGACTAAGGATCTCTCAGATGGCAGAGGCAGGAGGCATGAAGGCAGGTCTTGGAACGAGAGCAGCGGCGTTCTGCTGCTTGCGGAGATCCGCAGCCAGAGCCAGGAAGTCTTGAAAGGGATCAGCTATGGGCCCGCGCCGCTCAAGGACTCCATGATCACGTGCAGATCATGTGTGTCAGCGTGGGCATAGGACAACAGCTGCACTTGAGGCGGCAGGCAGGTTACCCAACGACGATTTCATGGCAGACTCTGCCAAGGACAGGTTTCAAAGTCTTGGACGAAGGAACTCGTCTAGTACTGGTGTTTCAGAGGCGCAGTGGAGTACATCTGGACGTGGAGATTTGGCCATCATGAAAAAGCTGGGAGCTAATGCGGTGACCCATATTGCCATACCGACGGTGTCGAACCCGGTTACTCGACATGTAATCCAACAGAGTCGTCGCGTGTCCAGGTACGGCTGTACGGCAATGATCCTCGAGAGGACTTTCAGACTTCCGGTTCCATTAAACGAGAATCGCTTTGGCGCAGGATCACAAACCATTCCTGGATGAAGCGCACAGTCAGGGACTACAGGCGTGGGTGTCATGGGGTGCCAGAATAATATGACCCAATCAAGCATAATCAAGCCTTGGTGGCAGGTAATACCTGGGATGAGCGACTATCCATACACGCAGATGCCGAAAAACTGCATCACGACGGACCGGTGGGGGGCAAACACCTATTTTGGTCTTAAGCTCTTTGTTCAGCTATCCACCGAGTGTGCTTGCATAGCCTCATCCATTTCTTACAGTCCAGGCTCGGGGGGATGGAACGGGGATTGCAGCTGCGAAGCATTTCGGGGCGTGTCAGACGACTCGGAGCGCCGTCCGTGACACCTGAGTCAGTGCCTGACACGGACAGCTTCTCGGCTTCTGTCGATTTTCGCAGCTTGGCAGATTCGGTCGACTGAGTCCGTCGTGGCCAGTTCCCTGCGATGGTTATGAGACGAGTGACTTGTCGTTGCCTGTGGGTTTGGCGAAATAGTTCTATGGTTCTTATGGAAGAGCTCTCACGATGTTGCTTCGATGGTGCAGTCTTTTGCAATGCAACTTTGCAGGAATACAACTGCTATTCGCAGATCAAAGAGCAGTACAAGAGTAATCTGGAGAACGGCTTCCTCGACAAAGCCGGCTCGTATCATCCCGCCCTAAAGCCAGCAGCTTACTGCCTGCAGCGCTGCTATTGCGCACTGCACTGTTCATCTCGAAGGACTATCATAGTGATCAACGAGCCGGACCTGAAGATTCCAGGGGAGTCGCAGCCCAAAAAGTTCAGCAGGCAAGCTGACAGTTCGCGTTGACACTCCCGGGGTGGCACGCACACTTGCTCAAGCGAGTTGCGCTCGCTTGTCCTTGAAAGGGCGATCATAAGCGCTATCGACGGCATGCTGGATGCTGAGAAGGAGTGTTCAGCAGAGGTTCAGCATTCAGGCAATAGCAGATCAACTTTGTCCTTGCAGGAGGCTGGTGCCAGTGGGAACTTCCCCAACTTCACGGCCACCTTTTCCTTCGGTGTCTGCACGGTCGCTCGGCTCTGCCGACGTGTTCATGGCTTGTGGCGTGCACATGGCTTGTGGCGAGTTGTGGGGAGTAGTCGGCCGAGCGTTTGGATCCCGGTCAACAGTTTGTGGATCTGTAGAGCCCTTCTGACCGTCAGCTGGCGCTTCATGCATCTTGTGGCATCATGGATGCCTTGTTTTTGCGAACATGCACGGATGGCTTTCGGAGCAAACCAGAGGCTTGTCCGGGATCGAAGTCGAAGCCCTCACTCGGCCAAGACCCTTGGGCAGAAATAGCGGTTCCCGGCGGTTCCCCCTTTCGTCCATGTCTGGTTCACACGTCTCACAGCGGCGAGTTTTAAAACCGAGATGCTGGAGCTGCGACGTGCCATGGAGAAGCCGGAGGCAAAGCGAGCTCGGAGAATGTGCCAATTCTTGCCTGCGGATCCTCAAGGTTCCCGGCCCCTTTCTGTTTTCGCAAAGCAGGACTATGGCTACACACCGAAGAACGATCTGGCCAAGATTTACAGATCACGGTCAGCTCAGTGAATCGGCTTGCGAGTCTTCATGTCCGTTCTCGTGACAGGTTCACGAACAGCTTCAACACTAACAACCCCGCGACCGACATGAAACCACTTTTCCTCGATGACTATGAGGCGGCTACGATATACATTGTATCATTGTACCTGTGTGCGGAGTTTGGATTCGCGAAGGCACTGTTTGCAACGACTCCTGTCTTTATCGGTGAGTATCATGCACCGCACGTTCCAGTTGGCCAGGACAGGCCGGGGAACATCTGCGGCACTTCACTCGCTAACTCTCTAAAGTTGGGGTGCACAGAAGGGTGTTGTAGAGTGCATCTTCAGCTCAGAGAAAAGGCTTCTCCCCAGGCCCAGGCAGGCGAGGCGTGAAACGTGGTTGGGCAAGGTCGATCTGGATCTCTCCCCCGCTCAAAACGTCTTGCAGTATCTGCAGTTCCGTCAAGTCAGGTCGACTGGTTGGGGCAGAAGCCGCGTCGTTCTCATGTCCCGGCAATTCGCCATTTTTGGCCGTCAACACTTTGCGACAGATGTGCAACAGTGCAAGACAGCCTTCAGTGCAGTTTCCTGCATCTACTATCGCCATGCGAAGGACCTGCAGAAAATCTTGTCCATCGCAGAAAGCTCGAGCTTGGCTCCTGGGCTGCATCGTTAGAAGTTTCTCACAGAGGCTGCTATCGCTTTCGCTTTGGTTGCTTGTGGGCTCAGACTGGTGCCCTCATGCATCGCTCGAAGTAGATCACACCAGTTTTGCCGTTGCCCTCATTTGGAATTTGTGGAAAGCTGTCAATGGAGTCGGGAACGAGGGAGGGATGTTGCTTCGCAAGGCGACGTGAGTATCTTTTCCGGCCCTCCAAACCTCCACGACCACTTCTAGACTGGATGGGGCTAGGCAGGGTCTGACAGTTCAAAGAGTCAAGTGGGATCCCCTTGCCAAAGCTCTAAGCGTCGGGTTTCAGCTGCAAGAGCACGGTCGGGAGGGGTTTGCCCAAACGGCGCTACGAAAGTCGCTATCGAGATACAAGGCCTTTGCTGGCTTTGAAAACTTGGTCGCCCAGTCATTTGGTCTGTTTGGTATTCTGCCTGACGCTCAGGTATCGCTTTTGCGTGGTCATGCTTGAATTTCCGGAGTTGTGAAGACATGCCCCCTCAAGACGTTGATCCGTCGAAGCTTTTCGCTGAACGACACCTGATTCCTTGATGTCACAAGTGCCAACAGTTTCTCACCTCGAGTCAGCAGTGTCAACAACTGCAGGCACGAATCATGGTGGTGCTGCATGGTCAGTGCTGTGAGAGGATCTTCCATTAGAGTGGAACACGGGGACCTTTCTTGCATGAATGGTTTCGGGCAGTCGGCTGCTCAACTCCGGCGGCAGAGTTTGTTCCGTTTTGCGGCACAGTTTTCAGTGCATCTCTGGCATACCTTCTCATGAGCTTTGTAACTTGGTTCTATGGGCCTCTGGGCTCATCTCAGTGTTCCCCGGTTGGCTGCGATTGGGAACAATGGTTGCACCAGTCTTCCCAACATCCTCTGCTTCTGTTTCGGCTACCTCCGCGGCGCATGGCAGTGGACGGAGGGTTCAGAGGAGGGGCCAAAATGGACGGCGAGGCGTCTGCCTGATTTCCCTTTTTTACTTTGTGGGCCCCGCTCTCGTTTTGTCTGGCAATTATGCATCTTCTTATCGAGTTCTCCGCTTCAGCATCGAAATGCAAGCTCTGCTGCTCAAAGGCCAAGAGTGCCCCAACGCAAGCAGTAAAAAGAGGGCAGATAAAGCGTGTAGTACCAGCTCGCATGGTCGTAAAGAAAAAATGTGCAGCAACACAGCCAATACACTGTTTTTGAATTTCGATGCGTGCCATTGTCGGCATTGTACCTTAGCTGACTCAGGCTGGAATCAGTTTCTTTGAGTACCAGGTTCGCTATGACAAGGGGGGATCCGAGATGGAGTTTGGCATGTGCAAGCCCCGGCTAGTCACAGTAGGGGTCCAACGAAAGGACGGTGGATTCGCATCTCGAACTGTGCCAGGTTTGGTTTGGGCGTGCAGAAGATTGCCAGGTGCTGTGACACCTCTGAGATCTTGTGATCGTTGGGGAAGCTTGAGCTCTGCCAGCATGGACTTCTTCGGCACGTCCTTCCCTGTGTGGTCTGGACCTCGAAGTCATTTAGTTTGCAGACAGCGAGTGACCTGTTCTCAGGTGCCTGACCGAAGTGGCCGACAAGAAGTCTTCCGGCGTCACTGTTGTTGACGAGCTTGCGAAAGCATTTGGAGGACACCCCAGCATCATCGCATTTGCAAGCCGCTGCAAGCCCAAAGAAGCAATCAGGCCCCGGTATCAAGGCGAACGAGCTTTGTGTCATCGATCCGCAGAAGGCGGCTTTGTCTTCGACAGGCCAAAGTGCTTGGAAACGTCGGCCTGCCAGGTTCCGATCTCGGAGGATGGCTACGAAGCCGGCTTCCCAAAAGACTCCTTTTGCCTCCTGTTGTGTTGAAGGAGTTGCGGTGACCAAGGCTGTTTTGTCTTTGAAGGATGTTGAAAAGATGGCAACCTTTGTGTCGCGTGTCGTGGAGCACATGGGAGGACCGGTCGTTGATAATGTTTACTGAACAGGCTGTTCAAGACCTGTGGCGGCGAGGCTCTGTGACAGACAAGAGCCAGTTGCAGAGCTTTGCCAAGAGGCGCGGTCAGGACAGAGCTTGGTTCCAGGCAATGTATGCTGCAGCATGTCACAAGCACATCACAAGCACTGACCCCGTTCGTCTCGTGTATGGCACGATCGGAGAGGTACACAGGAAGCACAGTTGTGGCATGCGCCCAAGATGCCACGCGGGTTGAAGCTCAAGCGGCCGCGGCCGGCACTGGCAGGTTGAAACAGCGCGATTCTTGGCCGCGGCTGGAAACTTCAGCTTCGCCTCCATGGCCTCGGATCTCGGCCGGGTGCTGAGATCCTCAGCCGGCGTCACCCACGGCCAATTGCACGGATGGCGCTTAAAGGTCAGCATCCATCTTGGATCAGCTGGGATGTGGACGCCTCAGTTGCTCAATTTCAATGAACGTGGTCTGGTAGTCCATAGTGTCTTCTGTTTTCGTGATAAGCAGCATGTGGACACGACGAGGGCTCGTCAAAGCTAGTTGGCCTGCTGTCATCAGATAAATGTTGGAGAAGTTGCAGCCGCAGTGCTAAAGAGTCTGCGTGGCTTTGTGAGCATGCCGAATTCCTTGTAGCAGAAAGCTTTTGTGACTTCCTGAGCCTTGATTGGGGATTCGTGCACATCGAATGAGTAAAGATCTGTTTCTTGACAGCTTTCGAAAAACATGGGATATAGCCTGCAGAGAGACTAAGTGGCCGGCAACATCTAAATCACTGCAGATGTACGAAAGGATTGCCAGGATCCGAGAAAGGATTGTGGAGTTATTAATTAATGCTCGTTATTCACGAGCTTTGATGCATCGGACGCAAAGGCACGCTTGCACACCTGCCGTGACGCGGCGACGCCAACCACGTGGTCGTGATAATGTCGTGATTATTCTGAAATGTGGCATTTCGCGAGGTCGCATGACAGCTTCAATGCCATGCATGTCCATCCATGCTGCAATGTTTGTTGAATGTGCGAGAGGAGGCCAACACTCACCGAATGCAACACGATTTGCTGAAGGAAGGAATGTGGGACGCCCTATGCTTAATGGCTGCCAGATAAGTCTAAATTGGACATGGCACGAGCAGGAGGAGGCATCGACCAGCCTTCGAGGATTTAGCAGTTTCCTGGAGCAGCTAGCATCTAGCATGGGGTTGCTGACCGCAGAAGACAGGCAATGGCTGCCTGTGTTGCCGATCGAGCTTCAGATGAGGGCAGTGTGGGACAGGCAGTCGTGTCGGTGGCAGTCCCCACAGCCGAAATCCAGCAAATGTCTGCTTCGAGGCAATCAGCTATGCTTGCGGCAAGCTCCACTCCTTCAACTGTTCAGAATTACCGGATAGCTGCACTCAGGCTGCCGTTGCACGTTACGAAAGTAAATTTTTCGCGTGCATGGCCTTGAGGACGTATGGCTGAAGGCGGACTATGCAAGGCGCCCAGTAAACGCGAGTCGAGAACCGGCCCCGACTCGACTGCCCAGCACCGGTTCGAGGACCCAAGCCCTCGATGTGTTGGTGTGGTTTGGTGTATAGGATTCAGGGCCCCGGACTGCCTGCATGAATCGTGTCGGAGGGCGAATCATGACGAATCCGCACAGTCAGTGTGCGAATCCCAGTGCCCGACGCGAACACACTACCGCAATCCAGAATACATGGCCGAATCATCCATCGAATGTTGGTTCCGGTCTCTTTAGCATTCTTTAGCGCGGGATCGGTGTTTCAACGCGCTGCAAGCCTTCGTGGGATTTGTTCAGCAAACGTGAGCCAAGGTCCTCAGTTTGTTTTACCTGCGGCAGGTCGGATTATGTCGGATTTTCCGCTGCACAGTGTGACTTGTTTCTGTTCCTGTCAGGTCACCAGCGGAACTCCACTACAGGATTGCAGCTTCAATGGTGCTGCCGGAACGCGAGAGTATGCAAGAATGCCACATAGCTGCGTGGGCAGCGTGGTCATGACTGAGCCTAGGCAATGTTCGCACCAGCGTCTACATACAGAGCTATTGCACCGATCTCGGCTCGACCTCTCTTGAGGGCCGGAGACGCGCTTTTTGCGAAAGTTGGCTCGAGTTCTGCCTCATTTCACGCGCACAGAGTGTAGAGATCTTGCCGCACTGTCGCTGCGCCTCGGTGCATGAGCTTTTTGAGGGACTTCTTCCGCGTCTTGGAACTGTCGGACGAGTCGGACGACGAGGTAGATGCACGTACAAGGAACGAGCCCGAAAGCAAAAGACGAAGGACCGAGGTGGCAAGTGCTTCTGGCATCTCAGTGAGTACAGCCAATGGCACGGATGTGGTGCCCGTGGACGAGAATGCCGAGTGTGCGGAAAGCAACCGTTTTGCAGACGGCCGCTCCGGAGACGAACGCTTTCATTCTGCCCTGTACTTCAACAAGCTCATGGACTGTGTCTGCACGTGCGGTAACTTGGATAGTCGGCTCTTTCATCTAACAATTAGTGCCTCAACATGTGCAGCATTCTCCCCAGTCGCATGTTTTGCTTGGTGTGTGTCGTTTTCGTTCCTCTAGCCTCTGAATTCTGGCCGCTGGCTTTTCAGCCTACATGCACCCAGCTGCCCCCTTGGGAGCTCACGGTCTGTCTACACCCCAGTCGGAAAAGCCGTAACATGCCGTAACATGTACACAGTCCATCAGTTGCGCATCACAAACATCATGGCCTGTCTGATGAGGTGATGATCTGACGTTGCAGGACATTTTTGAGAATCACCCAATGGGCAACGATTTGGCCACACATGTTGTTCTCGTGAACTTTATGATAGATCTGCCGTGGCTTTGTCAGCAATGTCCATCTCTTCTGCGAACGCCACGCATGTCCCTCTTGTACGGGGATGGCGGTGATACTTGCAAGCAAGTGGAACGGGAACGAGCTCGCATGGGATTGTCCACGTCGCTGCATTCTCCGCCTTTGCCCTTGCAGTGGGGAACACATCACAGCAAAATAGTGCTGTTGCTGTACAAGAATTGTTTGCGAGTGTGTATTCGCACGTTCAATGACATCTATGCAGACATTCACGAGAAATCAAACGCAATGTACATTCAAGACTTCCCTGAATTGCAGCAACAAAATGGATTCGACAAAGATGATTTCGGAGATGACTTTCGAAACCAGATTGTCAAGTACTTTCAAGCATGTGGTGGCTTTGAGCCTGTGGAGCTTCATGCATACGATTTCTCTACTGCGGCGGTTGCCATTGTGTGTTCCACACCCGGATATTATGCATCCGGCAAGTTGCACGAATGGGGCCATCTACGTTTGCGCAAGGTGCTGGGTCAGCATGCTAGAGGGTGGCAGCATCCAGCTGGCACTCACGGTATAGTTTGCCAGGCAAGCTCTTTTGGAACTTTGTCCAAGAGTTGGATTGACGAATTCTATGCCACCTTGTCAACAACATGTGATGCAACACATGCAGCATTTCTCAAGAAGCCTCTGCTCACTTTTGTCGCTCCCACTGTAGGACAAGTTCGCGACAGCATCGAGGGATGGGTTTCCAGCGCATCGTTGTTCATCAAGCGAGCGACTGTATCTGCCTGGCCCACAGTCTGGCGACGATGGGGCCCCAAGGCGGGCTCGCGAGACTCGCGATCAACGCATCGGGCCGTGGCCATGCCCCACTTAAAGACATTGTGCAGATATGTCACGTTGAACGAGGGTGACGACGAAGACGCACTCTTGCTTTGGCTCTATGTCGGTTCGCACAACATGAGTAAGTCGGCATGGGGGGAAATTCAGAAAGGCGGATCACAACTCTGTGTCCGCTCGTATGAGATGGGTGTAGTTTACTTCCCGTCGCGTTTGGCGACACTTGAGCGTGACATGTCAAGAGGTGGCTTCTTTCTGCAGAAGGTTCATAACGAGGCTAAGCATGGGGCTGTGTTTGTGCCCAGTGCAATGCACTCCAGGCAAGCCATAATTCCTCAGAGTCTGCAGCTGCGGGCATTGCCCATGGTCTTTCCAATTGCCATCCCGCCTGCATCTTCACCCGCGGCAGACGATCCAACATGGTCCCGGGACCTGCCTAAGGAATGGTATGCAGGACTGGATCGCTTTGGAACTCGATTCGGAGAACGAGGTCCGGAGTTCTATGGCCACCGCGCGGTCGCACAGCGGGGAAAAAGTGGTACTTCTGGCTTGCAAAGTGGCAAAGGAGAACAAAGGGTGGTAGGAGAGACCCCTCCACCAAGAGCTCGATATATATATATATACATATACATACATATATGTTGTATATATCCCTTATGTATGACATGTTTATTTCAAGCCGCAGTTGTGCTCGAGGGCTGGCAGACTATACGCGAGTCTGCAGGCGCTTTCCTGACGTCGGCTCTGTTGCTGTCCAATCAAATCCTTTGCCACCGTGCGATTGGGGATCACGACTGGAGGCCGAGAGCAAAGGTTTGGACTGGTCATGAGTCATAGATCAGTGTCGCCTTTGTGGTGTCGTTTTGGCTTTTACCCTGCTTTTACTTTTGGATTTGGTGTCGACGAGGTATGTTTGTTGGTCCCACATATTTGTTGAAAACGTGTCCAGCTGACCGTGCCCGTTTGGTGTTGGATTTGGCTTGTGTGTTTTCACGAGTGCATTCTTGGTGTTCTTGACCCCTGTGCCAAAACGCCTGACCAGCGAACCAAACACGAGACAAAAGCAGCCGCACACACGTGGAGGTTTCCTTTCGGGAGGGAAAATCGCCATGCACGAACCTTCGCCTGGCTTTTGCGTTTGACCGTAAAGAAACGTTGAAGAAAAGCTGAATGGCCCACAAGGCTACATTGGTGGATGCACTATGTAGACTGTTGCTTGTGAGCACGCCCCACATGCCGGCCATGTCACCCTCCTGAGCCAGCATAAATCAAGCAGATTCGGAATTGGCCAGGCCTTTCAGAAATCAAGCAAGCAACCAGGGGATCCCTGACAAAAGTCCCTTGACCACGGCAGCTCCGCACCGAGGATTCGAGGTGTGTCATCACTAAGGACATTTGTTTGCATCGGCTTGCAGAGGCGATGCAAGCATTGCAAGCATGCGCTTTTTGCTTCGTGCAGGATGCTGCCACCACGGCTCTCAGCGAGGAAGGCTACCAGACAGTGATCAGCAGCAACAGCACTGCTCAGGCGCCGCTCTTGCGCCGTGCTGAGCGCCCTAAGTTACAGGTTCATGTTGGCCCACCAGATGCATCTCAGGTCGAGTGCAGTTGGTTTCGGTAGGAGTGGGTGAAGGTCGGGTCGACACATAGACAACTACACGCGATTTGACAAATCGACAGAGAAGGCGAGAATCGCCAACGACGATGCTATCAAGATGGCCATGGCCATCGTGACCATGTTTCTCACCCGTAACCCTGAACCCTCAACGCTCATCCGGACCTTTTCAGTCGTCACCATCAACACCACCCATGGCCAGACCAAGAGAGACAGTAGTAGGACCCGTACGCCTAGGCAAAGTAGTAGTGGCAGTGGCCATGCTGCTGCTATGAATGCTGCGACTGCTACTGTTGTTTCTACTGATACCACGGTTGATGTCACTATCAGTATACTACTACTACTACTACTACTACTACTACTGCTAGAGCTACTACTGCTACTGCTGCTACTA